CTGCTGCCCTGGGGCAGCCCCTGTGGATCTGGCGCCTGGAGAGGTCTGGGAGCAGCTTTGCCAAGTGGGAGCGGGATTTATGGGAAGCAGCAAATCCTGCTGGAGCAGATGAGGAAGTTCCAGGGAATTGTTAGCGAATTCTTGGCAGCGGTGCTGGGTTCATGCTGGCCTGGAGCTCCCGAGTAACACTGCTGCCTTCTGCAAATGGAAACCTTGGTCAATTTGACTTGGCTGCTTGATTTCCATCTCCCGTTTAAAACCCAGTGGGTGGCTGGGAGGGGCAGGCAGTGGTGGGGAGATCATGCCCCAGCCTGCCCAGTCTACATGGGTCACCCAGCGCTGTCACCACAGCCCAAGAGGTGACAAGTTTGACTATTTTCTATAGATCATCATGTCCATGAGTTTTTCCCCCACGTATATTCAGAGGCGGAGGCCTTCCCTTGACCTCTGGCTCATGCTATGGGCCAGATCCTGGTGCAGGTGTGGGTAGGAAGGGTGGTCCTCACTCCAGCCCTCTAGGGAAGGGATGTGGGACTGGGAGGTATTAGGTACAGCAGCTGGGGACTTGCTTATTCCCTGCTGCCCATGTCTCTGAGCATCACTGCGCAGGCAGGGAAGGTGAGGCCAGGAGGGATGGCAACCCCCCCATAGGCCAGGAGGAGGGGCTGGAGAGAGAGCCTCCAGTCCTGGCTGCAAGGAGGGACTATGTCCTGGGGCAAGGTGAGGGTTTGCCATGGGTGGGAGAGGAGAGGGGCATGGGAAAGGGCCCAGTATCTCTGCATGAGCCAAATGCTCTTACGCCAGAGGGGACCGGCCCAGGAGAGACCATGGGGCCTGCTGAGGGTGGGACCTCTTCTGAGCCCACCCTGCTCTTCTGTCCCCCCTCCCCAGAGCCTCAGATCACCTCTCCTCCCTACGACACGTGGAACGTCACTGGGCAGGATGTCATCTTCGGCTGTGAGGTCTTTGCCTACCCCATGGCATCCATCGAGTGGAGGAAGGACGGCACGGAGATGTTGCTGCCTGGAGATGACCCCCACATCTCTGTCCAGGTGAGTGGTGCACCTGGGACATTGGACATGGGGTGATGCAGCCCTTCCCAGAGCTCATGGGCAATCAGTCCTGAGGTTGGTCATCCTCTGGGGGTGGGCAAGCCTGGCTGCCTGGGGATGAGAAGGGGTGACTAGAGCCTGCGCACCATGAGGACTGGCTGAGCCAGAGTTGGTGTCTTGGTGGTAGGAGCCATCGGTATAGCTCTCTTCTGCAATTTTCTCTTATAGTTTTGGAACATTTTAATATCTTTTAGGACCTGTGGAGTCCTGCAGCAGGGATTTTCCCACCTCCCTGCCTTTAGTTTGCTCTGCCTGCTGCCTTTCACTTGCAGTCCCACCAGCAGGCCTGGAGAAGACCTCCAGAGGCACTTTCCAGCCTGGGTTGTCCTCTGCTCTCACCAGCAGACTCAGGCAGTCCCTGCCCTTTTCTGCCCATTTCTCCGAGCAGGGCCCCTCCCAGAGCTGGTGTGCCCAGGGGTCAGCATCCTGCCCACGGCCGGCCCCAAATATAGCACCCAGCCAGGCGTACCCTGCTATTAGAGGGTGTGGGCAGAGGCACAGGGGCCGTGCACTGCAGCCAGGCACCAGTGGGGAGGAAACTGTTGTGGGATGGATGGGGGGAGCCAGGGGAGCAGGTGGGACCTGGCACCATTGCAGGGTGACGAGCTGGTTCCCCTCCATCTTTCTGACCTTCAAGTCACCCCAAACCCTGCTGCAGGGTCTGGCCAAGGACTGCCCTGCCTGGCTGGAGGACACCCAGCTGTCCTCCACCCCAGCCACTGCACTGTAATAGCAGCCTGCAAACACAGCTGCAGCCCAGCTGGGTCAGAAAAAGGCTATTTCTTGCTGGGGACAGACAGAAAATAGCATGATTGGCGCCAGAGCAGTCCTGGGACCTCCCTGCCTGTGGAAACAGGGGACTTGGGGCTCCTCTGAGCCACCCCAAGCTGGCTGTATCCCTTACTTCTGCCACCCTGCAAAGCACTGACCCCAGCATCCTGCTGCTGTTTGGGGACATGGTGGCACTGGGGGCACAGCTGGGAGTCCAGGGCATGTCTGCAGGGTCCTGCCCTTCCAGGGGCAAGACGCAAGATGATGTCCATTCCCCCCACCTCGCCTGGGTGGTGGGAAAAGGGGGGACCTGCATCAAGGGGGTCTGTGCCTGCCTCCAGAGTGGTACCTGGCAGGGGGGCAAAGAGTTTCTCTGGGCTTGTGTCCCTCCTCCCATCTGTTCCAGCCCCATGTGAGGCTTTCCTGACCCCAGTGCTAACCAAAGTCCCCCACTCTTGCAGTTCAGAGGCGGCCCCCAGAAATATGAAGTGACAGGCTGGCTCCAGATACAGGGCGTGCGAGTGACGGACGAGGGCATCTACCGCTGCTTTGCCAGGAACAGAGTCGGGGAGGGGATGGCATTAGCCAGCCTGACTGTCTTCACACCAGGTGAGCACTGTGTCCTTGTCCCCATGTTCTCATGGGGACAAGGGAAGGGATCTTTGGGCAGGGAGGTGCTGGTGCATGGAACTGTACTGGGGATGCCCCAGCAAGCTGCCATGCATGGGTTGGGTTTGGTCCTGGGGGGTAAAGGGGCAGGCACCAAGGAGGGCAATGTCACATCGTCCCCACATTACTGTTTCAGACCAGCTCAACCTGACAGGCTTTTCCCTGCCGAAGCCCCACACAACACCCGAGGACTACGGGGAGAGCGAGGAAGACTATTACTAGCCCGGAGATGGGATGTCCGGCTGCAGAGATCACCTTGCCTGTGGTGACCATTCCTGGGAGTTAGGGACGTCTCTGGAGCAAGCACCCCCCCAGCACAAAACTCCTCCTCTGAACAGTCCTGACACAGTAGCTCCTTTTTTGGGGTGGGGGACAGGGTGACACATCCCTTTGCTGTGGGTGCTTGGGGAGGGGACACTGGTTGGTTGGTGGCACAGGGCTGAGACTGGGGGTGGGTCTGCCTGGGGCAGGGTGAGTCTGTCCTCCAGCACCGAGCAGGGATGTGGTGGCAGGTGGGACACTATGGGGCCAGCCATGCTGTGTGTGACAAGGACTTGGGGCTAGGGATAGAGGCAGCCCTCGGAAAGCATGGCGGGGGGCCAGGGCAGGGACATCTCTGCCCTGTGCAAAGCATTTTGGGGAAGCCAGAGTGGAGGGCTGGGACCTGGCTGTGACACCCAGTGTGTCACCCCTGGGCCTGACCTGCATCTCCTGAGTGCAGGGACAGTCAGGCTTCTCCCCAGGACCTGAGGAACCTGCTGCCAAAATGTCATTCTCTCCTGTTTTGTTTTTAACCAGAAAAGTAGTGATTAGAGGAAACCAGAGTGTGTGGTTTTCCGTGCTGTCTTTTCTCCAGCCCAGCTACCCATGTGGTCAGAAACGCTTTGGCCTTTTTTGACTGACTGCGTGCTTTCCCTTTCATGCAGCTCTTTACTTTGCCATTTCAGTTAATGTTAGTTAAAATATACACGTAGGTCAAAGCCACCAGACCAGGCAACTGTCCTCTGTCCACAAGGATTATTCTGGGAGTGAGGGAGGGTGCAAACAGCATGGGTGCTACCGTGTCCTTTGCAGTTGTGCTTGGCTTGAGGAGCCCTCATGCCCATCCTGGGGCTCACAGCTGGTCCTGGCGTGTGTCCTGCCCCTCTCCCGCTGGATGGGAATGGGGGTACTGAGCAGATCATCCCCTGTGCAGTGGGGATGCATCAGGCTCATTCTTTGCACCACCATTGGTTCGGGTCCTATTCCACCTCTGCCTGTCCTCATCCTGGGGTCCTGTGCCCAGTGGCACCAGGGTCTCCACCCAGGTGACCAAAGCCCTTCCAGCATGGAGGGGGCAGAGCAGTTCTGTGCCTCTCTAGGGAAGGACAGGGAGGCTCCCATTTCCACTGGAAGTGCTCCATTTTAAAAGAAAACCCACCTGCCTCCCAGAGCTGATGATTTAGACAGAGCAAATTCATTTTAGGGGAAGGTGGGAAGGAAGCCCAGAGCTGCTCTGTGCTGCTCTGTGCGCAGAGGTGGCTGGCAGGACCCCTTCACATGGGTGTCCATGTGAGCTCACACTCAGGGGGTGCTTTGGCCCTCCAAACCAGCAGCATTTACAGGACTTTTGAGACTCAAAACCTCCCTGTGGGCCATACTGTCCCTGGTCACTCAGTCCCAGCTCCAGGGAGGTCTGGAGCTGTGGCAGGGAGCCCAGAACCTGGGAGGAAGGAGTGGGCCAGTCCCTGGGCAGGAGTGGGCAGGATGCAATGAAGCTGGAGGCTCTGACATTGCACTGCTCCCCTTCCCCTTCCCCTTCCCCT